AATCATTGTGTTTTGATTAAATTATGTTGTTGTTATGAAAAGTATACATATATTATTTCTCAAAACCATATTTTTCAAAAGTTTTTCAAAAACTTTGCCCATTAGGATTGATTTAGAGAACCTTGAAATATTGAGGACTCAATTGAGTTTTGGGATTAATTAAATTGCATACATTTGATTTTAAAATTACAGGTTATCCAATCTATTCCGATTTCCTTCACCATGTCTAATCCTAAACGTGCTAGTTATTCATCTAGTCGTTCACACCGACAACCAAATCCACCTCCAAATCCTCCACTTATTCCAATTTCTAATCCTAATCCTATTGATCCTAATTTGACTATCCAAAATTCGTGTTTCAATCATCCTTGTCCTAGAAATCATCGTTTTTGGTATTATCAATATTTCGACTCTTACAAAATACGGGAAGAACGTATTCCTTCTCGTCAAGCTATGTTAGCTATCAATTTTAAATATCTTCCTCTTTTACAAGAGTGGAAATTTGATAAACTCTTTGACCTTGAACCCATCGTTTACCATCAACTTGTTCGTATTTTCTATTCTAATGCCGTTTGTGTTAAAGACCAAACTGAAACCGAAACCATAGGAATTCGTTCCTACCTTCTAGGACAATTCTTATATATTGACTCGGCTTACATAGCCAATACATTCGGATTAGATAATGAGGGATTTCAAATGAAAAACAGGTTTTAGGATCTCGTTATAAAAGAAGGGATAGTGCAACTGTCCTAGACCTTCATGAACGTTTTCTTCATCTAATGATTTCTTGGTGGTTTCGACCATCTGGAGGTCGTTATTCTACTCTTAGAGCCTTAGATATTTGGTGGTTACATTGTTTCGAAAACAATATTAAAATCAACCTACCTCAGATTATTTTTGCTGAAATTGTTGAAACCGTAAATCTTGTTCCTAATAAAAAAATTTGTTCATCTCTTGTTTACGGTTGTATTTTGAGTAATCTGTTTTCCAAAGCTGGGCTTAGAGTCGGTCTAGATGCCGTTTTTTCTCTTAAGAAACAAATTAACCTTCTTTCCTTAACGAGAGCGGGATGGATTAAGGATAAGGAAACCGGGGAATGGGTTCGAACTTCTGCAACTACTCCGGGAGCTAGTTCTTCACAAGCTCCACCCGAAGCTGACGAAGATCTCGAGCTTGAGCAACTAATGCGAGACATCGATGAAGCTTGTAACACCCTCAACCCGTATCCGACCCGGATACAAGTCTGAGGTGTCACATTGACTTTTCAAACTTTAATCTTTTAACGAAAACCAATGAAATTTAAAACTTTTATTAAAATAACATTGTCACTGTACACGAGTTAACCAAAACAAGACAAAACTAATCAGAGCATTTGTAACTACCACTTTTCTTACATGCCAACACACTACATACAACAAAATACCTACTGTGACTTTACTTCTGATCTGATCGCTGAGTAGAGATAGGTTGATCTGCAAATTCCTATTCTTGATTCTCCTGCTCTTCGAAACCTACGTGTAAAAACACTTACACGCTAAGTCATAGACTTAGTGAGGCATAATTACATAATAAAGAATTACTAAAATATAAACAGGTCGTCTACTATCCAAACACAATTATACTATCATCCCATCATGTATTATACCACATATAAGCCAATATAAATCATAATAATACCATATTAAGATACAATTATATAAATCCTCGTTATGTCTTATTTAAGCCCATATACACTATTGAGAACCCAAGGTATACGAGTATTATGAGGTTGTGCACACGTATGCTGTCACCACAGCTCAATGAATATTCCGAAGGACCTATCCAGAGGTCATAAAGATCCTCGGTAACTATCCAGAGGTCATAAAGATCCTCGGTAAACTATCCAGAGGTCATAAAGATCCTCGGTAAACTATCCAGGTCATAAAGATCCTCGGTAAACTATCCAGAGGTCATAAAGATCCTCGGTAAACTATCCAGAGGTCATAAAGATCCTCGGTAAACTATCCAGAGGTCATAAAGATCATCGGTAAACTATCCAGAGGTCATAAAGATCCTCGGTAAACTATCCAGAGGTCATAAAGATCCTCGGTAAACTATCCATATGTTCCTTAGAACATAGGTATACTGTCCATATGTCTCGAAAGACATAGGTAGTTCTTCGACTCTTGGCATAGCAACTATACTTACAGTTCTCATAACTCATATCATGGCATTGTCTTTTACCTTATTACATATTCATACATCATAGCACATTTTTCTTTTTCTATAGCTCTTTATCACATGTTCATATGATCATCTTATTACCTATACCTTTTCATATAACCATTACATACATACATACATACATACATACATGTCATCATTTATGTTTTTATCATACTCCTATAGTATTATCCTTCATCTCTTTTATCTCTTGTTCATTTTTCATCCAATAACTTATATAAATGTATATATATCACGTATACTAGTTCCTAGGTCCCATCACACTAGCATTTTTCATATAATTCATGTCACCCCTCATATGATTTCATATTCATATTCTATATATTTCATATTCTTTCTTATGTCCTTTTCATACTTCTTATTTCATATTCTTATGAAATCATATTGATCATTTTAACTATTTCACATATTTAACACATTTATCTACCTATTTACACAACTCATATCATATATATATATACTGTAACATGTCAATACATATGCTCATTCATACATATAAACCATAACAAACACAACACACACACTTCATATACCTAATATAGATATCTCGTAACTCATTCATTTCTAAGCTCTAATCTGGAAAATAGACTTACCACAATCTGCATAGTATATCCCATAATGTATAAGGTATGAATTCATATCATATTTAATAATATTGAATGAATCATGTATCAAGATATTAAATCTAGACTTATCGCAATTCTAAAACTGAATATACTAACATAATCATGTTATGCACATGCACTCACCTTAGCCTTGTTTGAATTGAATCAATTCTAACCCTTCGATTACTTTGAAGCAAAGTCACGTTCAATATCTACATAAGCATAATTTTCAAGATGATTATCATATGCCTAAGTCTTGAAATTAACCTCTAATAGCCTACCAATTTAAGGGATTAATAGTTTAGTTTCTCTTCTTTCTTCTTCTTTTTTTTCATTATGGGGGAATCGGTTCCCCCCCTGGGGGTATCGATTCCCCTCTAGCATTCTAGAAATTCATATTCGTTTGAGGGGGGATCGATTCCCCTTGAATGGGTACCGATTCCCTTAGCCCAGAAATCCCATTTTGAGCTAAAAAATCACCTTATTTCAGCTCAAACCTTCCTATTTCACTTCCTTTAATACTCCTAACTTTAATACACATACTTAAACTTATTTCTATTCCATAATCACTTCTTTAACTTCAAATCTAGTCATTCCTATGTAATTGCAAAAATTATACTAGTTTTGCAACATGTTCAAATTGTTATTCTAACACTTCCTATCCCTTAATTAACTTGATGACAAGTCAAATTCAACTTCCAATTCTCAATATAAACTTTATTTCGATATTTCATTCAAAAACTTCAAATCTTTAAATCCTCATAAACTCTTCATTTTTTTGTTTTAAAGCAAATTAATCTTTTCTTAATCTTACTTAGCATCTAATAATCAAAACTAAACTTAAATTTCAGCACATAATCAACTCAAGAGAAAACTCACCTTTGCTTGGCTTCACACGTGAAGAAGAAGAAGAAAAAGAAGGGAACTCTGGAAACCTCTAAACTTTGTTTCCTTCCTTCCACGTGTATCTATATATACCATATATTATTATTATATTTTTATTTTCTTTACAAATGACCATACTATCCTTTCATTCCTCATTCTTTTCAATTTGATCTTACCCCTCATTTCTCATATAAGTCTTTAAACCACTCAATTATTCTAATTTAAATCACCAAATTTTGAAACCTTACAATTTAATCACTAACCCGGTATTGAGGATGTTACAAATCTCTCCTCCTTTTAAGAAATTCGTCCTCGAATTTCCATTACACATATCGATAAGAACATATCTTTCAATGTTCTCATGCTCCTTTCTCTACTTTATCCCATTGCAATTTGTAATGAATGATTTGCTTTCACTTCCCAAAGAACCCAATCCATTTCTAATTACCTTATAACCATACCCAATCTCTTATTCCATCATTCTATAACTCAGAACACAACCCTAAACCTCTTCAAATGTTATTAAACATATACTTTACGAAATCAATCAATCTTTTCATAACATTATCTACCATTTCCTTACCCCCTATCAACTTATAATTCACACTTTACACCCCTTTTTCATTTAATTCCCTATATATATACTCCTTTATAAATCACTATCTCCTTACTTATCCCTTGAGAAATATCTCCATTAGATTAACAGAGAATTAAATTCCCTGAATTCGAATGTAACACTTCTAACATATCTTGTTTACTTTAGCACTGTACCTTAATGGAATTGTCACTACACTAAAAATGACTTCTAACTAAATTCGCAATTCTCTTACCCATTCTCTACTCTTATATGGTTATACAAGCTCATATCAACTAATATCATAAAGCATTTATTGTACAATAGAAGATACCTGCTATTATCTCTGGATCCTCATTGTCTTCACTGATATTGAGATTACATACTCTAGCCGTAGAGCGCATTTCCTGTTGAGTAGAAAATTCTGTCTGACTTCTTCCTCTACCTCTACCCCGTTCTCTCTGGGATATCGAAGCAGATCGCTCCGACTGCACAGGCTTTCCTGTCCCCAATGGACAATCTCTCATGAAATGTCCTTTCCCACATCGAAAACAGGCTCCAGATTCAACTCTACATGCCCCACCATGATATCTCTCACAAATCTGACAGTGTCTCTGTTGTGCTCTTCCATCACCAGACTTTCCTAATTGAGTCTGTCTAGCTCTCATTTGATTTGATCCTCTAGCAGATGATACCACTGATTCAGACCTTACTTGGTATTGGAACCCAGAATCTCTACCTCTCTTGGGTGGTACAGAGCTCGACGAAGCCTCCGTTCTTTTGGAAGATTGAGCTTTCTGATCCCCAAACCGCTCATTCTGAGCTCTTTCTAGAGCTTTAGCATGATTTACTACTTCCTGAAACGATGACAAGTTCAAAACAATCAACATCTCTTTTAGCCTTGGTCGTAGTCCTTCAACAAACCACTCACATGCTTCTTTCTCTGTCCGAATCAATTCGGTCGCGAATCGACTTAACTTGTTGAATTCACACTCATATTCATACACAGTGCGATTCAGCTGTTTCAAATTCAAGAATTCTTGCTTCATTTCCCTGATGAACTGATCTCCTATATACTTGTGCTTAAACTCTTCTAAAAACAAATACCATGTTTTCTGATCATTTGGCATCCTATGAATAACATTCGTCCACCAGATTCTCGCTTGCCCACGGAGCAAAGAGACCATCCCATCTAGTTTCTCCATATCAGAGCAGTGGAGTCCCTCTAACATGATGTTTACATCATTAAGCCAAAGGTCCGCAACAACAGGACCTTCTTCGGCTTCACCTTTGAACTCTGGAGCTCCTAATCCCTTTAACTCTTTGGCTATATTAATCCTCTGTGTTGAGGATGCAGGAGTTTGGAAACGTGTCAAAATAGTGCCCAACGTCCTGAAGAATACATTTTGATCTTGTACAGGCACTCCAAAGGGTGCTTGTCCTTCACCTTGCCAGGCCAGGGCAGGTGAATTACTACTTTCAGCTAATATATCATCTCTCGCTTCACCCCGAGAGCTATCTTGTCCTGACATCTAATAAGAGATAACCAAATATTTCTATCAGCTAAACAACATACTCATTACTCGTATCAGATCAGAAGTTCTTACTACTATGTTGGCATGAACACTTTTTAAGACACTCTGGACTCCGGTTCATGCCGAGAATCGACTAAACCATAGCTCTGATACCATTAAATATAACACCCTCAACCCGTATCCGACCCGGATACAAGTCTGAGGTGTCACATTGACTTTTCAAACTTTAATCTTTTAACGAAAACCAATGAAATTTAAAACTTTTATTAAAATAACATTGTCACTGTACACGAGTTAACCAAAACAAGACAAAACTAATCAGAGCATTTGTAACTACCACTTTTCTTACATGCCAACACACTACATACAACAAAATACCTACTGTGACTTTACTTCTGATCTGATCGCTGAGTAGAGATAGGTTGATCTGCAAATTCATATTCTTGATTCTCCTGCTCTTCGAAACCTACGTGTAAAAACACTTACACGCTAAGTCATAGACTTAGTGAGGCATAATTACATAATAAAGAATTACTAAAATATAAACAGGTCGTCTACTATCCAAACACAATTATACTATCATCCCATCATGTATTATACCACATATGAGCCAATATAAATCATAATAATACCATATTAAGATACAATTATATACATCCTCGTTATGTCTTATTTAAGCCCATATACACTATTGAGAACCCAAGGTATACGAGTATTATGAGGTTGTGCACACGTATGCTGTCACCACAGCTCAATGAATATTCCGAAGGACCTATCCAGAGGTCATAAAGATCCTCGGTAACTATCCAGAGGTCATAAAGATCCTCGGTAAACTATCCAGAGGTCATAAAGATCCTCGGTAAACTATCCAGAGGTCATAAAGATCCTCGGTAAACTATCCAGAGGTCATAAAGATCCTCGGTAAACTATCCAGAGGTCATAAAGATCCTCGGTAAACTATCCATATGTTCCTTAGAACATAGGTATACTGTCCATATGTCTCGAAAGACATAGGTAGTTCTTCGACTCTTGGCATAGCAACTATACTTACAGTTCTCATAACTCATATCATGGCATTGTCTTTTACCTTATTACATATTCATACATCATAGCACATTTTTCTTTTTCTATAGCTCTTTATCACATGTTCATATGATCATCTTATTACCTATACCTTTTCATATAACCATTACATACATACATACATACATGTCATCAATTATGTTTTTATCATACTCCTATAGTATTATCCTTCATCTCTTTTATCTCTTGTTCATTTTTCATCCAATAACTTATATAAATGTATATATATCACGTATACTAGTTCCTAGGTCCCATCACACTAGCATATTTTCATATAATTCATGTCACCCCTCATATGATTTCATATTCATATTCTATATATTTCATATTCTTTCTTATGTCCTTTTCATACTTCTTATTTCATATTCTTATGAAATCATATTGATCATTTTAACTATTTCACATATTTAACACATTTATCTACCTATTTACACAACTCATATCATATATATATATACTGTAACATATCAATACATATGCTCATTCATACATATAAACCATAACAAACACATCACACACACTTCATATACCTAATATAGATATCTCGTAACTCATTCATATCTAAGCTCTAATATGGAAAATAGACTTACCACAATCTGCATAGTATATCCCATAATGTATAAGGTATGAATTCATATCATATTTAATAATATTGAATGAATCATGTATCAAGATATTAAATCTAGACTTATCACAATTCTAAAACTGAATATACTAACATAATCATGTTATGCACATGCACTCACCTTAGCCTTGTTTGAATTGAATCAATTCTAACCCTTCGATTACTTTGAAGCAAAGTCACGTTCAATATCTACATAAGCATAATTTTCAAGATGATTATCAGATGCCTAAGTCTTGAAATTAACCTCTAATAGCCTACCAATTTAAGGGATTAATAGTTTAGTTTCTCTTCTTTCTTCTTCTTTTTTTTTCATTATGGGGAATCAGTTCCCCCCTGGGGGTATCGATTCCCCTCTAGCATTCTGGAAATTCATATTCGTTTGAGGGGGGATCGATTCCCCTTGAATGGGTACCGATTCCCCTAGCCCAGAAATCCCATTTTGAGCTCGAAAATCACCTTATTTCAGCTCAAACCTTCCTATTTCACTTCCTTTAATACTCCTAACTTTAATACACATACTTAAACTTATTTCTATTCCATAATCACTTCTTTAACTTCAAATCTAGTCATTCCTATGTAATTGCAAAAATTATACTAGTTTTGCAACATGTTCAAATTGCTATTCTAACACTTCCTATCCCTTAATTAACTGATGACAAGTCAAATTCAACTTCCAATTCTCATATAAACTTTATTTCGATATTTCATTCAAAACTTCAAATCTTTAAATCCTCATAAACTCTTCATTTTGTTGTTTTAAAGCAAATTAATCTTTCCTTAATCTTACTTAGCATCTAATAATCAAAACTAAACTTAAATTTCAGCACATAATCAACTCAAGAGAAAACTCACCTTTGCTTGGCTTCACACGTGAAGAAGAGAAAAAGAAGGAACTCTGGAAACCTCTAAACTTTGTTTCCTTCCTTCCCGTGTATCTATATATACCATATTATTATTATATTTTTCTTTTCTTTACAAATGACCATACTATCCTTTCATTCCTCATTCTTTTCAATTTGATCTTACCCCTCATTTCTCATATAAGTCTTTAAACCACTCAATTATTTTAATTTAAATCACCAAATTTTGAAACCTTACAATTTAATCACTAACCCGGTATTGAGGATGTTACAAAGCTGAAGCTGAACCTGAGCAGGCCGAGGAGCAGCCCGAAGAGCAAGCACAACAATCGACTCAAATGCCACTATATTTTCAATCTTTTATGGAGACATTTGATTACCGATATGCGACCATGGATTCGCGCTTTATTTCTATAGAGTCTCATTTATCCACAATGGGAGCTCAACAATTAGAAATTCTTCGGGAAATGCGTGCAAATAATGAAGCAACCAACGCACGTATTAATGACCTCACTAACGAAATGGCCGCTATGCGAGCTCGTTTTTCTCCTCCTAATCCGGATATATGATTAAATGTTTTACTTTGTTTTCCAAACTTATGTTTTACATTTGAATATTTTGGGATGTTTGAATTTGAGGATTGTGAATTTGTTTGGATTTATGGATGGTTTGAACTTATATGTTTGGTGTGATTTATTTATTATTACATCATTTACATCATTATTAGCAATATGACCAATTTTGTCATATTACATTATTTATGAATATTGATTACGGAACTAATGGCTAACGTTTCTCTTAATTGTGATCTTAGCAGCTTATGCATACATATACCTAATCAATTGGCTTAATATTTTTCACATTTATTTGAATCTTTTTGATTTAACAAAAAGGGGGAGAAGTGTGTTTTAAGTGTGTTTTTAAAATGATAAATGGGAGAAGTGTTAAAATAAGGGGGAGTAATTCAAAACTTGATTTCAAATCTTAAAATTACTAAAATGTTTTGTTATATCAAAAAGGGGGAGATTGTTGAAAACATTTGATATTTCGATATAACAAATTAAGTTAAATGAATTTTAAGATTTCCAAAATGATTTTCTAAATATTCGATATATTATTCGAATATCAAACATACTCAAAATATTTCAAAAATCATTTTTAATCCTTACTTAAGTGTAAAATTAAGTTTTAATCTTAAAACAATTTCAAATAATCTTTCAAAGTATTTCGAACCATTTCAAAGCCAAAAATTCCAGATTGCTCAGAGGGAACCGATTCCCCCCCAAGGGGGTACCGATTCCCCCCTGAATGGTTTGGCTCCGAGATTTCCAGAATGCTCGGAGGGAACCGATTCCCCCATAAGGGGTACCGATTCCCCCTGTTCAACGGTCGAAATATTTGAATTTTACACTTAGGGAACCGATTCCCCATAGGGGGTACTGATTCCCCATAGGGGGTACCGATTCCCCCCACGCTCCAAATTGTTTTATTAATTGTTTTCACACTAAAACGGCTATATGATCTTCACTAATCATCCCCAACGTTCAGAAGAGATTCAAGGTGTATTTAAACAAGTTCTGAAGCCCTTGATCAACAAGAAATTATAGAGAAACAAGAGAGAAAGCATCAAACACCAAGTTTGTGCAAATCAAGCCAATTTTCCTTTCAATATTCATTTTGCTTTCAAGAACACCATTTGTGCTTATTTGTAATTATCTTTGAGTGTTCTTTTCTTGTTCTAGAATTGTGCAAACATCTTACCTTGTGAGGTTTTCTTGTAAGTTTGCAAATTTGTAATCTTCTCTTTGGGAAAAAGAGTGTTCTCAAGAGTTGGGGTATACTCTTGAGGGATTTTGTAAGGTTATCTCTTTGGCCTCAAAAGAAAGAACAAATTAGTGAATTTGTTGGAAAATCCTTAGTGTGGATAGCTAAGGTAGTGGACGTAGACTTTGTTTGAGAAAGTCGAACCACTGTAAATCACTGTGCAATTACTTTCAATTTTTCTACAAAAGCTTCCACGAAATTTTTAATTGCCAATTCACCCCCCTCTTGGCCGATTCCGTCGATCGATTAACTCAACATTAATTATGTATGATATCCTCATGAGCATAACTCGACATATTACATAATTGGATTAAGGGTAATATACTTTTAATTTAAAATTGTTTTAAGTGGGCAGTCATAACTGATTTGAGGTCCGCTTTGAATGATTTTAAAATAAAAGTGTATCCCGGAAGTGAAACCAAAAATTGATTCGTCACCTAAAATTTGGGAACGAAAGAAAAGGAAATGTTCGTTTATTTAAATTTATCGAGAAAATGTTGTTATAACTTTTAAGATCTGGTCTCGATATTTGTAAATAATCGAACATTCTTTATCTTTCTAAAACGAATCGGTAATTTTAATTTAATTTATTTGAGTGCTTTTGAATGTTTTAAATTGACATTTTTATTTTATGGGATCAAAAATCAAAATAAATTTGAATTTGTAAAGTTCATCGACTAGGTACCGATTTAGGGCGTTGTGGGGGTGCTAATCCTTCCCCACACGTAACCGATTCCCGAACTCATTTTTGGTAACGCAGACCTCAATTTGTTGTTTTAATTAAAATTAATTTTTATTTAAAATGACAAAGCATTTTTGGGTGCCCAATCACACCCTAATCAAATATTGGTGACGACTCTTTGAACCGTATTTTTCGATCGTAAAGGAAATTCAAAATTTTTCGAAACGAGAGTTCTTTTAAATCGCATTTGTTTTTTAAATTAAAATGAGATAATTTAGAATTAATGTGGTTTTTAAAATCTCACCTTTCAAGAAAAATCGTTTCGACACCAATGCCAGCTAACTTAAATAAAATTTAGATTTTGGTTCAAAAAAATGAAAGGAAGAAAGTGAAGATTAAAAACTGAATATGGAGATCGATACAAGAGGACGAGGAACCGTATGCGCCGCTGAATGAATTCTGCAAATTTTGTTTTCCAGAACTTCTTTTTTCAATTTAAAGAAGAATTAATAACATAAGTCCCCAAATTATGAATCATTTTAACTTTGTCCCTAAATTTTATTCATTCTAATTTGTACCTAAATTATGACTCTCATTCTAATTTAGTCGTCAAACTTTTGAGCATTCTAATTTTATCCCAAAATTGTGACCATGATTATAAATTAATTCATAAACTTTTGATCATTTTAATTTAATTCACAAAATATTGGTATATGCTAATCACTTGTTAATAAAACTTATAAAAATTATTAACTATCAATTGAATAGGAATGTTTATTATGTAATAACATAATGTGACATAAACAATAATTAATATTGAATTTAAATAAAATAATGGTCTAACTTTAAAACATAGAAAGAATTATAAATATATAGAGATACCAAAGATAGAAACCAATAACTTTCAATTTCATTTTAAACTAAATAAATTTTTTAAATAATCTGGAGGGATTACAAGATAATATATATTTAAAAAATTTCTTAACATATTGATAACGTATACCATGCATTACCAACTACTTAAACTCAAATTCTCTAAAAAAAAGATAACATTTCTTATTACTAGTGAAATCCCTTAATAAATTCTAAATATAAATTAAAATGTAAAGAAATATAATGTTTTACTATTGAAATCCCTTAATAAATTCTAAATATAAATTTAATCTTAATTCAAAATAATTTAATATATTTAAATTCTTTACATTTAAAGTTTTTATTGATTTAATTATCTTAGGATATTATTAAATCAAGTGAGTCTACCTTATCAAAGTTAAAATTGAATAATTATAATCTATCATAAAATAAATAATTATCCAAAAATAATAATATAATATTTTTTTAGAGAAATACATAATTTAGAAGAAGAATAAAAATTAAATAAACAATTTTTTTAAAATTAATATTATTAAATTATTATTTTTTATTAATCTACGATGGTTAAAATTTACAAGACAATATATGTTCGAAAGACTCTAAACTCGTTTGATAATGAATGCTCAAACACCCATGATGTATGAAGTGCTTGAACCCAATACAACAATCTTTTAACCATTGAAATAACATAGTTCATACAAATTTATTAAACTATAACTAAACTAAAAATATATATATAAATTTTAGACATTAAAATCATCATTACACTAAACCACGTGAATATTTCCGTCTCATATTTAACAGTGGTATTTATAATATTTTTTTAATTAAATAACAAAATTATAATATTAAAAAAATTATCAAACATATAATTGTAACTCACAATTGAACGTTCTTCAGCAATGCCATTACACCATGGGAACCCGGATTTGACTGGAGGAGATGGGAAATCGCCAAACCAGGAACAGATTAGCCCCGCCGACATTCATGATCTATTAAATTGTTACAGACAAGTAATATTAATGTTGCGAATGTCACAGATTCAGAATTCAACATTGAGTCCTTCAAGTTCAAGAGGATTAGACAGCAGCCCACAGAGGAGCAAGAGTAACAAAAGATATAAAAAGCAGAAGAAAACCGATGAGACGGGGCTCGTCCGGCCGCTACTAGCTCATCTAATCAAAAATTATAATGCAACAGCCGTGTGTTAATATTATATCTCCCAACCATAAATTAAACTCAATGCTGATTCGTGATTTATGCTTTGATCATCCATGGCTGCAAGTAGATTAACATAAACAGCTCTTTCTTTATGAACAGATGATCATCCGGGTTAAAGATATTTGACACATTATATACTGTTTATACGTATAATGTATGGCATAGGTGTCGTACTCTAACAAAGTTAAAATCAGCTTCTGGATGACTCAAACAAGCATCAAAATTGGATTATAAGGACGATTTGTATTGCAAATTTTTGCAAAGCTTGGCTCTTTCGTTAGGTTGTTTTTATGCCTTAAAATTGGTTTTATCAAATGAAATTATAATAAGAGGCGAATAGTTCTTATTTCCTATTTTCAATACGATAATTAAAATGGAAAAAAAGTTGTCAAGATCATAGACTAATACGAACCAAAACAAAATTTAAGAAATAAATATTTGTTGAGGCGTAGTTAGATACTATGCAAGACCACTGGAGTAGAAATGGGAGACATGACATCGCCAGAGGCAAAAGAGAGTACGAGAGATGGAGAATCGTTGCTGCTTTTGATTTTGTAAACCTCTGTCACCGGTGTCCTACGTAGATTTTGAATTCGTGCTTAAGGATATAATTGTATTCAAAATATTTATAATATATTTTTATAAATATCAAAACATTTATGTAACCTGTTATGAAGATTGAAATACATACTCAGATCGTTGATTGAAAAGCACTCGGTATCTGCATGTAATAAACAAGATCTTATCTGCACCTTTTTTTCATGAATGACCATTGACAGTGCATTGCACTTAAACTATAGAGCTATATTTATAATATATTTTTATAAATATCAAAACATTTATGTAACCTGTTATGAAGATTGAAATACATACTCAGATCGTTGATTGAAAAGCACTCGGTATCTGCATGTAATAAACAAGATCTTATCTGCACCTTTTTTTCATGAATGACCATTGACAGTGCATTGCACTTAAACTATAGAGCTATATGTGATGATGAATGAATGAATGAATGAATGAATAAATATCAAAACATTTATGTAACCTGTTATGAAGATTGAAATACATACTCAGATCGTTGATTGAAAAGCACTCGGTATCTGCATGTAATAAACAAGATCTTATCTGCACCTTTTTTTCATGAATGACCATCGACAGTGCATTGCACTTAAACTATAAAACAATTTCATTTCCTATAGATGCCTTTCAAATCTGAAATTTACTGGAAAGAATATGAATGTATGGTAATATCTCCTAATGCTATATGCCTATATAACACACGCACGCGTGTGTTTGTGTGTGCATAAATATTCTTTTACTGCCTTCTTAGAGCTGCAAGATTAGATGCCAAATCATCATATTCCGGTAGCTTTGGATGCACATGCCCAGCAAGCATGTGTGGCTGATATGAAGAAGCTCGGGTATGCCTTCCAGCTCTCTCAATCGAACTCATTGCTTCTTTGGAGAAATTTGCAATTCCGGCTGGAAGAGCACTCGGGCAAGATTTAGTGCTTTGTAAGCCTGGACCTTTACTTGTGTTGTCAGAGTCTTGTCTTCTGGGAGGAGGTGCCAGACCTTTACTTGTGTTGTCAGATTCTTGTATTTTGGGAGGTGCTCGAAATGCTGTCTTCCATTTGCTCAACCATTCATATGGCGATTTCTTCTTGCTGTAATGCATCAAAAGCTCATCCATTTTCTTCTCTTCTTCATCCCTCTTATCGCCTTCTTCCGTTTGTTTGGACTTCAAACTAATATTTGCAGCTCCATCTTTTCCAAAACCTTTTAAACCTTTCCTACACGATTGTGGTTTCAAAGGTCCTGGCTTACTTCCTCCAAGAGAATCATTCCAGTTATTGTTTTTCACATTAGTATTATCACTCGGTGCCATAGGCTCCTCCGTGATGCTTTTTTCTTTGCCCAGTGACGGCCTTACATATGGAGGAGGAATAAACCTGTAGAAAAAGGGCTTCCTGTTCTCTATACCATCCTCAGAAACACTTCCATCCAAAGAACTAGACTTTGGGATATCTTGATCAGTCACTTCACCTTCACTGCTGCTATTCAGCTTTAACTTATCATCTGTATACTCCATTCCCCCATGAGAAGTGAAGTTTGTTTTATTTCCTTTTGGCCTCATGTTCTCGTGCACGTTGCTCAGCCCATTCTTATAATTTTGATTGTTGCTTTTCTCGAAGGTATCTTTCTTGCTTGTATACGAATTGTGTTTATCAGCAGCAGCTGCAGCATATGAAGACTTCTGCTGGGCCTTGTTCTGCAAGAAAAGTCATACAATTAATGTAGGTGAAACATTTGTGAATCAAGCTATAAGCAGGATGAAAACAAATTTGAGCTTTCTAAAGTTAAACCATATAAAAAAGCAAATAGATCTAACAGTAAACCAATAGGATTATGTAACATCGAAAGGAATTCAAAGTTATTCACTCATGTTTCACCATTATGCAGTGTTCTGGGCAGGAGGCTTACTTGCTCTACTAGAGGTGGCTTAAAGAGAGACTGCTCCAAAGCCTTGGAATCCCATTCAATAGAGAACTCTTGTGCTATGTTATGCATCAATTGAATTTTCATCTCCTTTGTGGGAGGCTCCACCTTTAGCTTCTGCACAAACTGCAAGTAAGCAATTATCTAGATTAGCATGAAAAGAGAAAATATTCCTAAGAATAGAAGGCAGCCACATCTTATAGGACCTCAAGTCATCCCTTTATTACCTCTTGATTCAAATACAAATCTAGGGAATTTCCATATTTCTCAGTAAATATGGTTCTGAGATCAAACAGTTCTGGCAAATCAGCAAATCTGGCTGCAGCGTATATTAGAGACGGGACAGCTTCTCTGCATTCTTCTGGACACTCACTGTATCGGAAGAGAAAATATCAGACAAATGCACTTGATATTGTTTGTACCATAAATAGGAATAGACTTTAGAGTACCACAAAATCAAAGGTCTCAACATACCGCTGCTTTTGCATGAATGAGATATAATCTGCAATGCAGTCGCAGAACTGCTCTATGAAATTGTAACAAGATGTTCTCTTCTGCTCCATCAGAAGACCTTCAACCTGCATAACCATCCACATATGTTGTTAAATTTGGATATCTCTGCACTCAGATAAATGTCGATAATCATGCATAAATTATTGCATTCCAACTTAGTTGCACATTGATCCAAGTAATTAAAGCCTATAGTCAAATTACATGTAATGGTTCAAGTTGGGAATTATAGGTGGTTACACCACCTAATGGCTAATGCTCATTGAAAGCAAACAATAGCAATATAAACTCTCATTGCACATGAACCCTGATGAAGAAGCTTATGTCATGAAATTAATGCTGCCTTGTCCTTAATGCATCATACAGACAACTGTGACCAGGAAAACATTCAGAGCAGTTGTAGTCTTCTTCTACTCGGAAAACGTACCATATTAAAACTCAATATGGCAAGCCAAAACAAGTAACAATTGAAGGCAACATAACTTAGCAAACAAAAATGGGAGGAAGAACTAATATTAAAAGTTCATCACCGTTGGGCAACCGAAACTGTAGACTCCAGAAAATGTCAACATAAATAAAACAAGCAGGCAAACATATTTTCTGGGGTCTTTGCCTGATGAACAATACTTTATTCTTGAAAATTAAAGCAATAAGATCATCAAATAGTAATTATTAAAGTTGGCAGTATAGACCACAAACATAAAACATCGTAAATAATAATTATGAAACTCAAGTTTCAGGTTTTGAAACAATGTAAATCATTGAGCGAAAAGGGGAAAAGGTCGAATACTCGAATTACAGTCGAAGTTGTTACCCTGTTGTAAGCATTGTCATCGAGACAGTTCATGAGAAGATCAGCAATATCATTCTTCAAATACTTTTCCACCGCATTTCTTTTCTTCTTTATCGTCTCCAGCCTCATCTTAATCATCTTTATAGCCGATTTGCTAAACCAACAAAACAAGGAAAATCCAATCAAAACAATAAAATAAATAAACCAAGGTATCAAAATATCATGCAAAGAATGAAACGAGCAAGAAAAAAATCTGGGTTTTGTATGCCTAACCATTTTGAATAGAACTTCGGCTTAACCAACAAGTCAAACATCTTGTGAATCAAAATTGGAAGGCAGGCAGCTTTACTTTTTCGTTTTTATTGGAGAATGAAATGATGTGTTGAAAGAAGAGAAGATTTGTGACCAGGTTTATAATAACAATGAGCAGAGGTTTCTTCTTCAAGCTACACCAGAAAGATAGGAATCTGTATTTCAAAAACCCAAAGAAGCAAAGGAAAGCTCTTTTTTAAATGCAAAAAGCAATGTTTTCAGATAAAAGTTTCCAGGAAAGTTATTCAGTTAAAGGGAAAGGAAGTGCCAGATGATAATAAGGAGACGGGTAGTGTAAAATGGGTGTGCATATAGCGAAGCAAAAGAAGCTGAAGCGAAAGGAATTTGAGAGGTTTTCTCTATTGAAGAAGAGAATGGGAAAGGTTCTGTTTGAAGAAACTGTAAAAGAAGAGGGACAAATGAAGATTATATGAACTTGCGCCATTTCTACTATTATTAAAAGATTTAAAGCCTATTACTACGTACTTACCCATATTATTATGTTATTGTTATATTAACTTAACCAATTTAATTGTAAAATAATTAAAAATAATCATATTTAAATAATACAAAATTACTAAAAAACTTAAAAAATAATACAAAAACAATGAAATAATAATTTTGTATGCATCATAATGGTTGCATAGATATTAGAAATCCAAATTTTTTAAAAATACTAAAAAAATGTTCACAATTTACTACACTAAAAACTTAATTTTGTAAATATAAAACTTAATTTATTTGTTAAATTAAATCATATATCATTAATATTTTTTTAACTAAGTGTAAATTACATCTCGTTAGATTTTAGTTGAACCAATCATTTTGAAATTGTATGGATTAAAAAAGTTGACAATTGTTTTTTTAAACACTTAAAATTAAACCGAATAAAAATACTGATAATTATCAATCTAATTTTTAAAAGATCTGGTGATAATTATATGGGATAAAAAAATTGATAATTATAGTTTTAATTTTATATATATATATATATATATATATATGATTTTTTATATACATGGCATAATATTTTCAAATTTAACATGATGTTATTTTTAAATTTGATAAGGATATTATCTTCCAAATTAAATAATTAATATTGAATGTTTTTTTTATTTTTTAACATATAATTTTAAGTATGTTTTTATTTTTAAAATTATAATAATTATAGTATTCCAACATTTTTGTTATAATAGGTTTTCTAATGTATACGATTTAAAATGGATGAATATTATTTATCAATGTGTAGTTTTTGTTATATAGGTTATTTTAAACATACAATGAGGATGTGTGATAGTTTTTATTTTTACTATAAAATTAAAAATTATTTGAATATATTTAATTTTATATTCAGTTATGCACCACACTGATAATAATATTAACTAAATTAAAAAAATAATGATAATATTATTTTTTTATATGCATATATGTCTACAAAACTTGAGATCGAGTCCCACGGAGGGCATTTCATAATTTGGAGGTCTTCTACGGAAGCTGCTCTCAACCTGGTGTTGGGGGCAGCCTACTATCTTACTTTCCCCCTTACCCCATTATATTTGGGAACAAGGGACAGCCATATGTCTACAAAACTAAACACACAATTTAAAATACTAATAATTAGTAAATTAAATGTTTAAAAAATAAAACTCAAAGGTACACATGTCTATTATTTTTTGAATTAATCATTGGTATTTGATCTATTGACCGACTAATCCAGATCGAGTACTGCAGAGACGAGGGTGACCCTCCCAATCCAGTTTGCTCCATTCGCAAATGTCAGGATTTGAATACCTAACCTTAAGGGACTTAATGCCTCATCCTACTAAACCAACTGTTTATTTGATTACACATGTGTATTCTAATTTTACAAAAACTTGTGTGCCTTTAATATATCACCTCAATATATGGTTTCCTTAACAAGTCAGGGAATCTGATTAATCAGAGAGAGAAAAAAGGTTTAGAGACAAAATGGTGACCAATTTGCCAATAAGTTTGCATGTTAACATCCACGCGTCAACATCCCATTGGATATAACAGAAAAAGAAGTCCAAGTCCAGAACATAAAGTGTGAAAAAACATGTTTCCATGCTTTCGTGTTTTGGAGCACAGCTGTTATATGGTCAATGCCCTTGCACGCCAAGTATTAGAACGAACCTTCTTTTTTATCTCACTCGCCAATTGGCAATTGGTCAAGTTGAAACTGAATGAAAGAACCTTTGGAATGTATAATATTGAAAATATAGATTAAAAAAGCTATTGATATACGAATATAGATGCCGATAATGTAATTTTGAAAATATAGATGCCTCTGAAATTAATTTTTGCACGACGTCATCGTTTTAGATGCCGATAGTGTGTTTTGGAACGGGAATCGGGCTGGTGCTATCGGGTTTCTTACTCGTGATTCTGTTGGTTTAGTCATCTTCGGACGTACGAATTTTATACCGAACATGTGTATTATGAACGAGGTGGAAGCGGTGGCTCTTACGTATGATATTCGCATGGCAGTCGAATCGAATTATTCTAGTGCTATAATCGAGAGTGATATTGACAATGTTGTTATACAATTGTTGTAAAGTATTCCATAATTATTAACGTCATGTTTTGTCTTCAACAAACTTCATGCGATCAAGGATATAATTTTCAAATTTAATTAATTTGTGTTTTAATATATATATAGTCAAATAGATCTTTTTACCATTAAATAAATCAATTTGATTATTTTATTCTAAATATCAAATTTAAAAAACGACTTGTTTGAAATAATAAAATTTTCAGGTGCTTTGAAGTTTAACCTATAGCAGGCGAATTATTGTGTTGTCTTGAAGTTGAATACAAATGGGCAGTGCCGTCTACATGTACATTATCCGAAAATAAAGGTTTACTAGGCACTTTATAAAAATGAAAGGAATGGTGTGTAGCTAAAATAAAGACATGGGACCATAGAGATAGCTGGCGCATGAAAGCAGGGAGAAAGGTACGTGGTGTTTGCGACGTAAAATAGGTTTACTTTTGGAAATGCCGTCAAAATTAAGTAATATCCTTTTAGGCTTAAGCAATCAGCTCACATGCTACGTTGCCCGCTAATAAGGTGAAAAATATTGCGCCAGCCACGCATGAAAAATGCAAATACGTACAAATGCCTTCCACTTGACACCTTGCGCCGGCATTAACATGCCTTGCACTTCACAGCTTTAGATATCTTATTATGGATTTTACATTCAATTCCATGTGAGCTTTTGTTTGATAACTTGCGATGCTAAACTAGCGTCGTTGCTGACCCTAAACGCGCTTCTTACACTGCCAAATGCAGCGTGCCCACCAAACTACTCACCCAGGACTAGAGCTGGGTATATGGGCTAAGGCCCGCGGGCTACCCGTTTAACCCGCGACCCGTGTGGGCTTTGGGCCTCAAAAATTGAAGACCGTTTAAATTGGGCTTTTAGCCCGGACCGTTAAACCCGCGGTTTAATGGTATAACCGCGGGCTACCCGCTAAAGCCCGCTTAATTTAAAATTTATAAATTTTAGAAAAAAAACTTAAAAATTTTATAGAAAAAGAAATAAATTACTTATAAATATGATGTTACTTATAACTATTGTAGTTCTTAAATTTATTAGGGTGTTTGTCATAATTTTACTGTTGCTTGATATTTTTTTCATTTAAATATATATCATTATCATTTTGGTATTTAAAGTTTTTTATTTAATTATGACCTTTATTTTTTTCATGAAGTATGTTATCCATTTTGTCTTTAATTATAAAAAGTCACGTGATATTCTAATATATATCACGTGACACGTAATATTTGGATTAAAATAAGAAAGAAAGTAAATAAAAATTGAAAATATACTTTTCAACTTTAAAGACTTTAAAATAAATATATTTTAAACAAATTAATACTTATATTTTATCAATTTTAGTATAATTGTATCTTTCAAATTTGCTCTTATACTGTAATTTTATTTTATATTTCATATTATGTTTTAGTATTTCTAAAGTAAAGTATCCATACAATTATTAGAAACACTTGACAACTTTCTTGTTAGATTTGTATATGTTTGACTTTTTAAATTTTAAGTTTGAATTTCTACTTTCAGACACTTCTGTGTATTCATATTATAGCCTTGAATAATTGTGTTTTATAAAAGTATAATGTGGTTATTGTTTTATTTGTTTTTCAATTTGGTGATATAAGTGAATATTGTTTTTTTAATTTGAGTTTAAGTAATTATATCATATATATATATATTAATGATTAAAAATTAAAAAAATATTATTTTATAATCATTTCCGGCTATTTAAAATAAAATTTAAATATTATTTATTATTTTGACAGTGCTACCTTCCTTTTCAAGTTGCTCGATCATTTTTAAAGGAGTAGTAAGTTAAAACATTATTTTTTATTGTATTTAAAGCATTTAAAATTATTTTTATTAAACGGGCCGCGGGTAAGCCCGTTTAGCCCGCGGGTTAAATGGACGGGCCGCGGGCCTTAAAATTCAAAACCGTTTATGAATGCGGGCTTTTTAGCCCGCACCGTCAAAACCCGCGGGCTAAACGGGTGGGTAGCCCGTATACCCACCTCTACCCAGGACCGAGAGGGATAGGTGGATCATTTACCTCTTAAATGATTTATATTATCAAATATTTTAGAATTTCTTTTTAATTTTTTATTAAAAATATATTTTCGTCATATAAAATCTTATAGATTCATCTTTCTAAAATATTAAGAGTTCACTTTTAATATAAAATTATGTATTTGTCCATTTAATCAATTAACCTTTACATTAATGGATATTGTTAAAATCGACTACATTAATGGATATTGTCAAAACCGCCTTTCGGTTGGGCCTCGAAATTGGGCTTCGACTTGAAAAATGTGGATTGGAGTCGCCACCGACCATTTTAAAACGAATTTAGGTGGGTCGGACACCATCTTACATGATCTGCGTTTTTACCATAAATGTGTCGGGTTCGGGAGTCGGTTACGGTCAAGGAA